TTAATCTTAGATGACTATTACTGATGAGCTGTGTATGTAGTGTTACTACTACTGGAGGGGGAAGTAGAGTACTAAGGTTTGTGGAGCAAAGAGGACTGAGGAATACTACTGGTATGGGTATTGCTGGTAAGATAATTCTGGCAAGGATAATGCTGGCAAAATAGTGCTGGCAAATAATACTGGCAAGGTTTATAATACTGGCAATGGTTTTAATACTGGCAATGATGGTTAATACTGGCAATGATGGTAATACTGGCAAGGTTTAGTACTGGAAAGTGATGCTGATTTACTGTGTGTGATTACTAGTAGGTGATTCTCTGCATGAGGGGTAGCATAGCAATGGAAAAGCATGAGGATGTACAACTTGGAAAAGGGGGACTATTTATATGTACAACATGTAGGGGCTATAGAGACAGTACAGGAGATGAGTAGACTGTCTGAGAGCAACACAACACTGATGATGAAAAAGGTTTGGCAGATGTAGAAAGTGAGCATGTGAAAAGAGAGGATATTGGAAATGAAAGATGACAATGTGACAAACAAGGATGAACACTACAATGGTGAGAAAGGAAAGTAGTCTGAAAAGGATGTTCAAGGCTTAACTATAGATGTAATGACATGTAAAATATGAAATGTAGCTGAAAAGAGTGAATCTACATGAGAAAAGATATGTAACATATGAAATATGACAGGAGGAATGTTTGTACTAAAGAAGAAAGATGTAATATATGAAATGTGGCTGAAAGGAGGGATATGTAATGTATATGTACTGTGGATGTAGCATAAAAGAACTATGGAAATACTTGATGAAGCAATACTGAAAGTAAATGTAAAGTACTGAAAATACCATATGGAGATGACTTGGGGAAAAATAGTAACTGGAAGTGAGGTATGGAATAATACTGAGGAGAAATGAATGATGATGATGGTCAAAATTGACTTAGTAAGGAAAGGTATGGGAATACCACACCGTCAATTAATAATTGTGGATTTCAAAAAAAAAGTGACGGGTTTGCAAAGGTGGATTTGCTATATTTGATACCCCCTATTGTTTGCATGCATGTATGTACTTTATTTTTTGAGTTTTTTTGAGGTTCTAAAATTATTTCCTAGGTTTTAAAGCATGCAGAATCTAATGGCGCAATCCAAATTTTTTAAAACTCGACGGTTCACTTTGAATACTGAAATTAGACACTTTTTTCACTTCAATTTTTACAGCTTAATTTTCATTCTTTTTTCACTTTTTAAATTTGTTTCCCACACTTTAAGACATGGTTAAAATGATGGTAACAACCATTTTTCTCCAAAATGAAAACTGTACCTTGAATGCTGCATTTGACATGTTTCTTTAATCAATTCTTACACGCTTAATTATCCTTATTTTGTGGAGTTTTAAGTTCATTTCCTAAACTTTGATAGGTTTTAAAGCTGATTGCTGTATCCATTTTTCATTGAAATAAAATTTGTATATGGTACAAATTATGCAAGAAACGGGGTACACTCATCTATTAAGATTGAAGCTTGTATTTTTAGTGAAATTGGACTTCACCATTCAATTCTACACATTTTTAAATGTAGGAAACGAATTTAAAATTCAAAAAAATGCTTCAAATCAGGCCGGTAAAAATCAATCAAAAAAACATCAAAATAAACCTGTCCAACACAGTATTCAGTAGCAAGCGCTGATTTTTATGTAAAATGGTTGCTAAGATCATTTTTATCATGTCTTAAAGTGTGGGAAATAAATTTAAAATGTCAAAAAATATTGAGAAATAACATGTAAAGAATTAATTGAAAAAAGTGTCTGGTTTCAGTATTAAAAATGAACCGTTGAGTTTTAAGAAAATTGGATGTTACCATTAAATTCTACACACTTTTAAATCTAGGAAGCAACTTTAAAACTTCAAAAAAGCATAATGAATAAGGTACACACATGTATGCAAACAATTAAGTGAAAAAGTGATGAATTAATTAAAAAAACGTGTCAAATGCAGCATTCAAGGTATAGTTTTCATTTTGGGGAAAAATGGTTGTTACCATCATTTTAACCATGTCTTAAAGTGTGGGAAATAAATTTAAAAAGTGAAAAAAGAATGAAAATTAAGCTGTAAAAATTTAAGTGAAAAAAGTGTCTAATTTCAGTATTCAAAGTGAACCGTCGAGTTTTGAAAAATTTGGATTGCACCATTAAATTTTGCATTTTTTAAAACCTAGGAAATAATTTTAAAACCTCAAAAAAACATAAAAAATAAAGTACATACATGCATGCAAACAATTAATTGAAAAATGAGTGAAAAAAAAATTAAGAATTGAAAGTCGTTCTTATGCAAAATAGAATTTACCATTATATTCTAAACGCTTTTTAGTGTAGGAAACAATTTTAAAAACTTATAAAAATTAAAATTAGTGGCAAAAAAAATTAATTAAAAAAACGCCTCCAAACGCGGAATCCGCGTCTGCTGCGCGCAGCAGAAACCACATTTTTTTATGAAGGCCCTTATTTTTCAATACTCATTTTCTGTGACGTATTATGCATCACCTGACCAAGTCTCATGACTTCAAGTCTGTGTATTGCTGCTCTGGAATCCAATATAAGCAGCCACTTTTCACTGTCTACCCACTTTACAGTTGTGTTTTCTACTTACCTGGTACTTTGATTTGGGTCTCGGGGGACCATCTGGCCACTTCCTGGGTTGTTTTTTACGCCTACTTGCGTCTTTGGTCTTGGTAGTCTGTATTGAAATTGTTTCCTCTGTATCCGTTTCTTCCCCTTTGGCTTGGGGGTTTAGTTGCCTGGCCGGGGATACACTGGTTATTTTGGTTGAACCGTGACGGGTTGGGTTGTTGATACAAGAAGCCGTTATATCCAAAAGTGGGTGGGAATTGTGGATGCATCCTTGCCAGATTTAGGTATCCACCTTTTGCAAACAGGATCGACGATGTTAGCCCGTTTTGTGAGGAGTCTTTTGATTTTGGTTTTGGTAGACCTGTTACTGGGTTGAGGCCTTCTCTTGGACCGCCTACCGCGTACGGGTTGTCTTTCAAGCGTCTTGCGTCAGCATAGGCTGACTCCGCAGTGTCGTTTCTGAAGACTGA